ACACCGACTCGAATCCTGCCTCATGGCCCAAGTTCCTGCCTTTGCCCATCGACGAGGAGCCTATTCTGAAAGGAGCTCCAAACACCGACCATCCGCAAAGCTCCCGTCTACATCTGAAACGTCGTAACTCCACAGACTGGAAAAAAAAAACACATTGGATCTAGAGTCCAGACTCTTGAAAACATTGACAAGAAAAAATACTCTTGATTCAATCGGATTTTTGCTTGAATCAAAACAAAATCCGCTTAAATTAAGAGGCTTGGTTCTTGATTTAAGCTAGATTCTAATTGAATCAAGAGTACTTTTTCTTGTCGATGTTTTAAAAGTCTGGACTCTAAATCCAATGTGGGTTTTTTTTCCAGTGCACTCCAAAAAATGTGTTTTCAACAACAAATACCAACCGTTCGCATTTTAAACTAAAACCAAGACGCCGATTCCTAGTATGGCGAAATCTCCTGCACTAGAAAAAAATACATTGGATCTAGAGTCCAGACTCTTGAAAACATTGACAAGGAAAAGGACTCTTGATTCAATCAGATTTAAGCTTAAATCAAAAGGAAATCCGCTCAAATTAAGAGGCTTGGTTCTTCATTTAAGTTTAAATCTGATTGAATCAAGAGTATTTTTTCCTATAGATGATTTTAAGAGTCCGGACTCTAGATCCAATATGTTTTTTTTTTCCAGTGTGAAAATTGGTATGAATAGGGAATTTGCACGCAAATTTTTTTCATGTCTTCATCTAAGAGTACTTAATGAGCTGATGAATGAGAATGGAGTTAAAACATGGGTAAACAAGGCTGAAACATTAAGAACACTAAAAAGCAGGACATTTCGAGCAGTTACCAGCTCATTTTGCAGCTGCAAAAAACAAAAAATGAGCTGGTAACAGCTCGAAACGTCCTGCTTTTTAGTATTTTTGATGTTTCAGCCTTGTTTACCCATGTTTTAACTCCATTCTTATTTACCTATTCGTATATCCGGGATATATGTTTGTGTGTTTTATCCATAATGAGCTGAGTTCGCAGTATTTTTCATAAATAATTTATGATTGATGATCTTATGATTTTCATCATAAGATGCGATTTCTTTTCCAACGAGAAATTGATATCTATCAGGTCGATTCTCACGAATTTTGTTTTTCGAGTGTACCTCCGTCGCGTCTGAGGATTCGTCACATTTGATCATATTCGAGCCTTTGAAGTTCCTTGATTATTTTTCAAAAAAATAAAAAATAAGAAAGGTTTCTTTTACGTACAGGTGCTGCAGTCAGGGTCCCTCTCCGTTGTTTGCGTGTTTGACTCTCGTCGAAGTCGTAAAAATGTCTCGGGTTGACTCTCGATACTGTTGAGGCCTCGTGAAATCAACTTGCAGCTTTCATACGTGGTTCACGTTTTCGACCGATCCTTTTTTCTAAGGAGGAATTCTACAGGTTTGCTGTACAAAATTTAAGTGAATGTGTTCGTAAGGGCTGCTTAAAAACGAAAATACCTAAATAAAGTAAAACTCGATGAGAAATTTGTGTTTAATTTTTGTTAATGTCTTACGTAGGATTTTATGCGAGAACTTTAGGACGGCTCCCTTTAAATACTTCATTATTGACTTCTTCTTCTTCTTCTTCTTCTTCTTCTTCTTCTTCTTCTTCTTTTTTTTTTTAACACTGCGATGCTCCAATTAGATGATTCTGAAGTAATAAGTAACGTCAGACCTATTTTCTACAAGCTTTGGGTCCTGCTACACAAGGCTCTAACTTAACCATCAGGGCCGGATTTACCTACTTGCTTGCCGCCCATGGGCCGCCTGCATTTTGCCGCCCCCTTCTCAATCGTTTTGAAACATAAATAAAAACCATTAAGTAAACGTGCCGGAGGGGGAGGGGTGCATAAAAACGCGTTTACTCGTGTTGAACACATTTTTTGCGAGAGCCCTGTCAACACTACCTATACTAGCAAAAATTCACGTAACTTGGCGCGAAAGTTAAGTTCCGTAAACCTATCTCTGTGTAGACAAGGCCTTCCATTTACACGAAATGAACGGAAATATTAAGAAAGAACAAACATAAATGTTCTTTAATAATTTTAACTTCCGCCGCCGCGCCGCGCTGATTGCACCGTGTTTGGCGCAATGCGTGAAGTATTCATGCAGTCTTGTATGTGCTGTGCGTTTCACGCCGACCGCTGCTGCACGCACTAAGTTTGACGCAATGCGTGAAGTATTCATGCAGTCTTGTAGGCGCTAATATGTGTTACATGCCGACCGCCGCGCCGAGGCGAGGGTTTCTCCTGTTCATCTCAAGTTCTCGTCATCATTGCTCTCTGCGCCGCACCGTTCCAGGCCAAACTTTATGTTTGGTTTGTCTCTCAGTCTTAACTTGACTAATTAAAGGTGCTGTCTATTGTATCACAGGAAGACGACAAAATTAGAGATATACTTTCGGGAAATGAGAGATTTTTTCACTTTTTCTCGTTTGTAATTTTTTCTCTGAATCCGATTTTTCTTTATAGCTACATTTACAAAAATTGCAAAATTTGCCGCCATGAGCCGCGGCACATGTGGCCACCCTCTAAATCCGGCCCTGTTAACCGTATAGGTTGATTTACATATCTGACTGGAGTTCTAACTCTTGAGCGGAAAAAAATACAAATATGAGATGTGCGCTCAAATTTTTACCGAAGTGAAAATAAAACGACTTCTTAGCATCCCTCGTTTTTACATCAGAGAACGTAGCGACCGCAGCTCATGTTTTAGAACGGCGGCTGTTATACATTTCAACATTCAAAGCATTACTAAGAAAATTGACAATAAGTATCCCGATAAAAATCAGTAATAGTTAACATCATCATCAGCACAGTAGGCAATGTTGGAATTAATCTTCAATATTCTCACAATGTTGAGGAGAGGATTTAGTCTACTCTCAAAACAAACAAGATAGCTCTTTTGAAAAATTTTGATTTTTCATTTCTGAGATTCGTTCTGAAGAGACTTTGATGTGAATTTTTACGGATTTCGTGACTATCATTTATGTCTCCTTTGAAAATAAAAATCCTTCTAAGTGCGTTAGGTTTGTTTCAATTGGTTCCAAGACTCCAGAAAGGTTTAAAACTGGCGGACTAATCAGAGGGTGGCTCATGTATGCATATATCTTACTATATTATAAATAATCTACATATCTTTTTTTTTTTTGTAGATTCTCGAATAACTCCCATGGAAGGCGATATCAGGACACTTATTTTGACATTATACAGAATCGACTCCCAAAAGTTTTAAATTTCAAAAGCTGGATCACTGTTTATAAAGCTCAGCAATGTTTTTAAAGGAAGTACATAACTACGTAAGGCTGAGGACTTTCTTCAAACTTTCGTCAGTGACGCGTTTAATAGTGATATTCCTTGAAAAAGTACATAATATGTATTAAGAATTTGTTCCCTGCATCGTAGTTCTACCCTCATGCAGTCAGGCCTCCGGGTCTAGTTATAGCATAAATAAATGAATTTAAAAATAAACAGAATTTAAATCATGGGTATGTAAATAAATAATAACGACTTAACACGAAGTTGACAAAAATACAATTATTTAATTAATCTGAACATTGTAATAAGAGAAGAAAAAAAGGGGAAACAAGAAAAACAAGAAGAAAAAAAGGGGAAACAAGAAAAACAAGAAGAAGTAAAAACCGGTTTGGTTGTAAGTCTCTCCAGCAAACGCCTTTCCACTATGCTGCCGTGCTGAGGAAGAACGCCGTATGAGCCTTTAGACCTTGCCAAATTTCCTTCGATAAAAACCGAATTTACTGGAAAAATTGTGAATATTTTTGTACGCAATTTAATCTAAAAATATCTGATTATTACAAGGAATAATATGCATATATTTCGTCAAGAATACACGTTAAATCAAGAAAAATCTCGCAATCCTCGACTGTTCATACGGCGTTCTTCCTTAGCATGACAGTATGGCGAACCATACTAAATACCAGGGTGCTCGCGTCATGTCAGAGCCGAAAGCATGGTGCAGCACTGGAGCCGGTAACCGTGGTATGCCCATACATTTGAATTTCCCGCGTCTGGAGATTGTGAACTTGTCCCACCAATCAAAGCACAGACTTGAACAACGCATCGACCCACGCTAGCCACTTACGTGAAGAGGCACGATTTCGCCTCGCCCGTCACAAGGCCTCTTTAGCTCAGTGGCAGAGCACTGGTCTTGTAAACCAGGGGTCGTGAGTTCGATCCTCACAGGAGGCAATTATTTTACCTCTTCCAGGTATAATTAACTTTATTTGTGGCGTAAGAAACTTCTCGTTTGGTTTCAAGTTTCTTCATTTTTACAGCTCGCACTGAAGACCAAAAATAACGCTCACATTTTACATAAGAATTTTGGGGAGAGAAGGGAACTCCTCCCTAACCCTTGACTATTAGAACATCGAAATTCCTCCTCCGGAGAAAGTTTTGAAAGTATAAATTTTGAAATCATCCTATTTTAATTCTCACGAGGATGGGCAGAGGGGAGAAATTTCGAAGGAATGCGGTGCTCCTTTCAAAATCCCCTACTCCGAGGGGGGGGGGGGGGGGACCTTTTTAATGATTATAGCAGTTAATGCGTCTCTCTTGTCTCAAGACTTTTTTTTTTGCCGAACATTAATTTAAGATTTCTAAAGTGCCTAATGACAAAAATTGAAGCAAATTAATTTTTTTCCCTTTGACATGAATAATTTTCCAACAGAGCGATAGAAATTTTTCGTACATACGTATAAAGAAAAATGCCTAAAATCCTGTCGGATTGGAAAAAGTGGTGATGAATTAATAACGGCAAATACATTTTGGGATTAAAAAATAATGAAAAAAGGAAAGAGAAAAATCTAATAAAATAATGAGCAAACAATAAAAAAAGACAACAAAACCGACGAGAAGAATAAAATAATAATAAAAATAAAAGAAATTAAGAAAAAAGTAATGAATATGTGTATAACACATTTAAAATGAAAGAAAGGTTGTGTAAAAAGTATGTCCCTCGGGCCGGATTTGAACCAGCGACCTATGGATGTCTATGATGTAACCACTACAGTCCACCGCTCTGCCAACTGAGCTACCAAGGGCTTCTGCTCGATTGCGGCGAAAAAGCGGTATTTGAACAGACGCTTACTGGCGGGAAATTTAAAATGTGATGGATCAACGTATCGTTTCTACTGGGCACTGGACACTGACACTGGTCCCATGAAGTTTTTACCGATTACTTTACTTCATAAAGATTCCCTTTAAACATAATTAATGAAATATGTATTTTGATTAAATATGTCTACTATTTTGATGAAATATGTCTACTAATTTCCTACACAAAAAACCACTAAGTAGAGTACCAGATAGAGTACTCAAACCCATGTAGACTTACTAATTTAAATTATTTTTCGACTAATTGAATTATTATAATAGCAGTATTTTAGGTTGTAGGTTATGGCTCTCTCCTCTGAAAATAATGGTGGTTTGATGCATCTAGTAGCTTGAATTTTATATATTTTTTCCATTTTACAAGTCTTCTGGATATTTAAATATGTTCGATTTTGCAATTTTCTTTCTGCACAATTAATCAACTTTAAACCTGGAAATAGCCTAAAATCGCGCTGATTTGCCGAAATTTTCTGTATCGTCTTCCAAGTCGGGGGTGTCGGGTGTCCCCCACACCCCCCGGGCAAAGTATCACTATCACAGTACATTACCTCAAATGACCAAGGGTTATGGGTCTATGCCCCGAGCAAAAATCAGTGAGACAAAAAATTACAAATCTTACTAATCCCAATTTGATAAAACTATTGATATACCATTATAATCACCTACCAAAGAATACCATAGCAAAAAAACAAATAAATAATAATAGGTAATAATAAAAAAGCTCGGCAAATGGCCCTGGTTTTCTGGCCTACCTCGAGAATTGGAGGCGAAATAGAAAGCTTGATAATTGCATCCTTTGCACATTCATATGGATTTTGAATTCTCTGAATAGGTAAGTATTCAATTAAAAAACTTTATTTTGCACTTGTAAAATAGCCTGAAGCCCTCTGGCTCCCTCTTCAAGTCCTTCTGATGGATGCATGGATGCCACCAAAATAAAGAATGACTAAAACCACATTTAGAAAAATATATACCCTGGTAAAAATTGGCAGTAGAATCTGTTTTCCAAAATACCATAGACCTACAGCCGGCTGTAAGATTTCCAATAGCTTCTACAGCCGGCAACACAAATTCTTATAGCCTTTTATAGCCGATGGCGACTAAGCAACAGCCTGGCAATAAAGTGTATGCTAAACATAACTGATTACGGATGCTAGGACTTAGTGAGTTTTTGGACTACCGCTCTCTTTTTGGGCCGTAGTATCTTGATTTATTTTGCGAGGAAAGCTCCGTACTTTTGAAGGATGCCTGCCATTTCTAATATGTTGAGCGCCTTCAATTTCGTATGATACTGTGCAATACCTCTGGTGTGAAATAGTTGCTCCAAGCGCCTGGTACGCTGCGGCGCGGCGGGCGGGCAGCCAGCGCGGAACGCGCATTGGCGCCTACAAACCTAACAGGGATACTTCACGCATTGCGCAATGCGTCAAGTATCCCTGTTAGGTTTGTAGGCGCCAGTGCGCCGCCGCTCCGCTTTGTGTTGGGCTATAATATTTAATCTCGTGGAGTCAGCGTTTTCAACTTATGACTTTGAAATGTTAGCACACTCTGTATGGATTATTCTCATTTTAATTGATGAAAAAAATATCGACGGTGAAACTACCAAACCACGTATCTCGTTTGCGGTGTTTAAAAATCTACGCTCGCATTTTATTTTTTTGAAGTAGACCCAATCAATATTATTCCTTGAAATTTTCACAGAATTTTCTCCGCACGAAGAGGAAAAATCACAGAAATTTCCAAGACTGGACGTTACGTAGTTTTTCATTTAAAAAATAAAGTATGAGCAGGAAGTCTGCGACGTCGCAAACCGAGATACGTGATTTGGTAGTTTCACCGTCGATATGTAGTAAGTAAAGGAAAATATGTGCGTTTTGTAAATATATTAAGGTGATTCCATACAAACTTAAGAATTTACAAAGCACACGAATTTCTACACAATCTCTTATAGCCTTTTATAGCCGATGGCGAAAAAGCAACAGCCAGGCGATAAAGTGTAGAGCCCGGCGATAGGAACTATAGCCCGGCTGTATAATTTTTTATAGCTTCGTGTAGCCCGGTCGTATGATTTTTTCCACTTTCTACAGCCAGCTATATGATTTTCTATCGCCTTCTTCAGTCGGCTATAAAAACTCCTATGGTATTTTGAAACGCAGCTACTATCGCCAATTTTTACCAGGGTATTTGACCCAGAGAAAAAAAGACGATCACAAGATCAAACGATTTCATCATAACAAGCAAACTTTTAGGTACTGTCACAACTTTAATGAATGTTGTACCTTAATCTGTTTATGTGTTTAAATGAAATAAGTGAAGCCACATACTCACACCACAGCATGAGAGAAAATTATTTCAAGAATCGAACCCCTCTCTCTTTCCTGCGCCCCCTCTTTCTGTCCTCTTCACACGTACACATGCGCACAAAATGTTCATGTAAAAATTAATGCCCCAAGTGGCAGTGATCGCGATAAGTGCGATTTGATCGAAAAGTGTGTCGCGATTTTATCGACGTCGATTTATTGCAGTATAATAGGATAAAAAATTGCGATTTCATCGCAAAAATTTGATTTGAAATCGCAATTTTATCGACGGCGATTTATTGCAATAATATCGAAGGAAAATCGTGATACAATTTCGATTTCAGGAGCGTGATTTTATAGAGATAAAAATTGCGAAAATATCGGGTGTTGATGATCGTGGCGATTTCATCGCCAAAAAGTCATATAAAAACCCCAACTTAATTTCAAAATAACGCGATTTTTTCCGTTGAAAAATGCTGCTTGGATAGTGCTCAATCGAAAATGAGAAAAAATGAGATATTAACAGAAACACTTTTTAAAGTATAATCGTAGTAGAGGTTTATCCCATATCAATACACAAAATTTGATAGTCCTCTTTTTATTGACGTCGATTCGCCTGCGACGGTGGAGAAACTTTTGATTTATTCAATTCGGCGTGGAGAACTTTTAAACTGCGTATAAATTGTTCCGTGTGAAGAATCATCATAGGAGGGGACCCCTATACGTCTCTATTCTGCCCCCATATAGGCAACAAATCGGATCATATAAAAGTCCCATTTTTGGCTAAGAAATGCTCTTGCCGGAAAGAGGGTGGAATATTTTGGGGTTGTGGGATCGGCAGGGTTACATGTTTGTCCTTCCGTTTCACCAGGAAAAGGATTACAGCTTCCCTCTTGACATGAAGTTACTTTTTTATTCTTTCTACGCGTATACACATACACACGCACATTTATACTTCAAATACCGTGGCTATGAACAATAAATAACTCTTCCTATCATTATTGTAACCTCTCTGATGATCCCTGCTAATTTTTTTATTTGTTTTCACAGAAAATAATGAAAACCGACCCGTTGCTACAGCAACGGGTCGGTTTTCATTATTTTCGCGGCTATTTACGAGCGATAGTCCCAAAAATGAACCAATTTAATTTGGATTTTGAAAATATGATTGAGGTTTTTCTTTGTTCTGCGTGATTAAGTTGAGACTTGGGGATTCTCACATTTAATCTGTGCAAAGTTTCATTTTATGTCACTTTTTGTTCTAAAAATGTACCGGGCCAATTTTCATGATTTTCCCGGTTATCGATAGGAGATAGTTCCTGGATGATCCCGCTTCACTCAGATTAACGCACAGTACGGTCCATCAAGTGAGCCTTTGAGGGGGTTAAACGCTTTATATCTATGGTTCCATGTGCTCTGATAAAAGCAACGATGAGTGCGTAAACCTTGGCAGGTACCAGCAGTTCGCCTTCATATTCGCTGTATAGGCAACAAGCATACGGGGACCACGAACAGTTATCTGTTTGAAAAACTCACATCTGCTCGCACTAGAGAATGCTTTGATTTGGCAGGGCTGTAAGCGTCTCAACCCCCTTAGCAACTTCATAGGAAATTGAGGTTGGGTGAATTTTGCCGTAATTTAGGTAAAATGTTCCCAACTATTGAACTACACTTCGGGGTAAATTATTCATACAGGGTGATCCAAAAGTCCCTTCCACCCCCTCTAACTTTATACCTAATTGAGGTAAAGATTTGAAACTTGGGGGATATTCCTAGGTCAAAGGGAGCTACTTTATGGCCCCCCTAAAATTTTCAGGGGGCCCCCCTAGGGGGAGCAACGGCCCCCAACTTTTAATTTTCAAATAGGAAGACCCCTTTTGTGATAGCTCGTTTGAAAGAGCATAAAAAAAGAAAATTTTTCGCGCAAACCCGAAGTCAATATCTCAAACCGTTTCAAAATGGCGGCCGGTTAAAGTCCAAAATGGCCGAAAATTCACACCGGTTATTTGTCGATGGATTTGCGCGAAAATCGGTTTGTAGGGGTATTTTGACACGAGAAAAACGAATTTGACGTTAGATTTTTTTAAAAAAAACCGAAATTTCCAAAATGGCCGCCGGTTAAAGTTCAAAATGACCAAAAATTGATTTTTTTTTAGAAATCTAAGTTAAAATTTGTTTATCTTATGCCAAAATACTCTCAAATTCCAAGTTTTAGGTAAATCCATCAGTAAAAAACCGAGGTGACAATTTTCGGCCATTTTAAACTTTAACCGGCGGCCATTTTGGAAATTATGATTTTTTTGAAAATCTAACGTCAAATTCGTTTTTCTCGTGTCAAAATACCCCTACATACCGATTTTCGCGCAAATCCATCGACAAATAACCGGTGTGAATTTTCGGCCATTTTGAACTTTAACCGGCCGCCATTTTGAAACGGTTTGAGATATTGACTTCG